CTCTACATTGATTCCTATTGGAAAAATAATTTCATTTTTAAGCATTTCAGGTTATGAAGAGCCTTCAGGGACGAATTAAATTCGTGTACCGAGGTTCCACTTTACTTGTAATATGAATGTTAAATGTTCCTGTTTTTATATTTTTCTTGCTGAATGAATAAATTATTTTCAAGTGATAAGTCTATCATTCAAAGGTAATATTAAACATTAGAAAGTGATATTTGTATTAAACTTATCAGTGGTATTCGTACCCGGAGCAAATCACATCCACGTGCTCTCTTTGAGAGGCCGATGAAGGGAGAGGCAGAGAAAGTAGTAGGGTGGTTTACTTTTTTCTATGGAATCATGGGAATTAGTTGTTTTATTTTTTTATTTCTAGTTGTTGCGAGATCACTATAACTATTTATATCCGTTCTGGGATTACTAAATCCTCACTTTCCAACCCTGACAGAATTCAAAATCGTTTACGCGGTTCTGTGGCGGATGAAGAAGTCTGATTCTCCACCCTACAGCATCTTTCCAAACGTCGTAAGCCTATCGCTACCCTATTGCTATTTTCAATGGCAAATGTTCAGATGAGCGCTCCATTCTTTAGTTCTACCAGTTCAGACATTTACAGTGAGGACATGCCATGATACTTTCACAGTGTCGAATCACCCAATTTCCCCCGCGTATAAGAAGAAGAAAGTTCCACTGAGACGGTCTTTTCGAGAGAACGGCTACTTTTGTAGGCTAGACACCGGCTATTTTAATAGGCCAGACTCCGGCTACTTTTGTAGGCCAGACTCCGGCGAGGACCCAATCGTTGCCTATGTTTCTGATCCTCATAATTTCAATATCATCTCTACTTTCACTCAAATCCCACCTCATTTTAACAGTAATCTTCGACCTTGATAGGTTCTCAAGCATTTTTTTTTTTTTTGGCGGAGGTAAAAATCAAATATAGAAAGTTAGGTGGCAGGTCAAGTTCAAATTCCGACCAGCTGCAATCTCTTCACAATTTTTCTTTCTTCTCTAGCCTTAAACTAAATAGCAGGGTAGACCCTCTTCTTTAGCCTTGGCAGGGTGGCCTCTGTAGAAGAACAATTTAGAAATTAAAAACAGAGAGAACTTACCAGGAAATGATTTCACTATTATTGCCAAGATTTATGGCACCTCACAATTTACAGACATTAAAAGTAAACGGCAGTTGTGGAGAGCCACGTTCTAACAACAATATATATAAGAAATATTTTTTCTACTCGATATGTTAACGCCTATCCGTCAAAATAATACAAATATGAATTCTAAACTAGATTTGACCTTTTTATTTGTAAGCGAGAAACAAGAGGTGGAGTCACTAGAGGTGGAGTCACTAGATCGACATTAGAGAAATAAACAATCCGAATCCTAATTGTGTGGTCGCTGTGTGGGATTTAATGGCTTCATCTAAATCTCTGCCTACGAAATTAAAACGAAAACAAATATAACATTATTTTGCCAGCGGATTTGGGGTGCAAGTATCGGTCGTAATTTGCCGTCTTTGGTTATGTAATAAAAAACCATTAATAGATTATACAAGTGGACTATTCAAATGTCAACCGAAGCTAAATACGTGTCATATTCGAGATGGGTCTTGAACGAAATAAAATAGAAAGATTTCACTACTGTGTAATGCCACTTCACTTCCCTTCCCTGTAAAACACACACACACACACACATATATATATATATATATATATATATATATATATATATATATATATATATATATATATATATATATATATATAAGTCAAAGGTTTGCATATTGATGCTGCCTTCAGAATCCTGACTCCAGAGTTTCGTAGACGGACACGTCCGTACACTCGTCAAGGAGTATCAGCAACTGACTGCTTATAGTTACAAGATATGTATATATATATATATATATATATATATATATATATATATATATATATATATATATATATATATTACTTAAAAGTTATTTTAGGATAGATATCCATGTTTGTGTAGACTTCCGCGTATTTATTAAACAGTATATTTATTTATTTACGTCTACCGATCTGAATATTCGAGAAAAAGGAACGTCTACTCAAATATGAGTATCCACTAAAAATAACATTTTAAATAATAAAATCTTTCGGATTAATAAAAAAAAAATCTATCACTTTAGAAATTGATTTATTTACATTGGGCTACGGATCTGAGCAGATATGTATATTTCGAGAATCAGTGGGGTGCGTTTAAAGGCACTATTTAACTTTGCTTGATCATCGATACACTTCTTGGCCAAGAGATCTAAAGCATATTGGATCTAATAATGGTTTCCCCTGTCCAGAGGAACGCAGATTCATATCTTGTCGGATAGCACATATTTTTCTTTAAGAGGATCTCTCGAATATTCAGTCTGGCAGACGAAAATAAATATACGGAGCGGCTATTCAAACGAGGGGCATCCACTAAAAATAATGTTTAAATAATAAAACCTGTCCGATTAATAAATTAAAATACATTACTTTTTGTAGAAATTGCTTTATATATATCATATATATAAAGCAATTTCAAGCTGGATCTTGTATGTGTGTACGTTTAAACCAAACAGAGTGGAAGCACTTTTTTTTAAAGAACGCCCTTGAGTAATGAATGTCTCAGATCGCCTCAAGCGTGATTTACGAAGAAGAACTCACACTGATTTGCTAATTGATATATAGTCTTCGAAATCTTGTGGTATCATGTGGCACAAGTTGTTGTTGTCGAGGGTGGGTTAAACCATTTTAAAGGTCATCATAACAACCAGAAGAAAGCCAATTATGCTAACCTGTCTAATCGTCCTGTCAACAATGCTTGTGTTGTTTGCAATAAGGTTTGCCATTTATCATCTGGACTGAAAAATTACACAGAAGAGTTGCAGTAATGTAGATGCAAGTAACCCAATCAAGGATGCTGAGTTTATCTATCGTATCTGCATGTCACCTATGGAATCGAATACTGGTCTCCAGAGTCAACTTAAGGGCCATAGACGCCGAAACGAGACAGAAGCAATTACAAATAATGGTAAGGATGAGGAGGCGGTTCTTATCTGAGTTAAGTTGTAGCAATCACCATTTATATAAATATGTATGTACATATATTTGTAAGTGCTTATAATTATGTATTACGAGAAAGGTAAAAAAAATACCTGTCTTAATTTAAATTTAAATTTATTACCATTCAAAAAAAATTATAAACGAGAAAGTTCCGAAAAGAAAAATTTATGGCGTTACCTTCAGTTTTCCCACCCATACCCCCTCATTCAAAATGACTGTTGCTCCTGGAAAAAATGATCTCTTGGGATTCCGGTTCTTAGATAGAAAAATGCTGCAAACATTCCCAGGAAATGAGTGTATGTTTATGGAAAGGCTTTACTTTAGATAAGCAGAATAAAGAGATGGGTCAGTGGAGATAATTGCAATCCTAGAGAGAAAATAGAAAGTGATCTTAGTAACAGGTACTGCAGTGGTAGGCTAGCTGCTGTTGTGAAGGGGATATAGCCAAAGAGGCCTATACTCTCATTACATTAGACAGCAGAATCACGATTTTGTGGAAGTCTTCATGTGAACCATCGTAGTATTTGCCGTTTACTGCTGCCTCTTGGCTACTTAAAATGAACCCCGATTGTTGAGAGGTTCCGTGAAGATGCAAAGGGTAGTGTCAGCCCAAATTCTTCTGGATCTACACAACAGAGCGGCCTATGAAGGAGCCTTTTAAATAATGATGATATCAAAGAAACTCGTACATGGCCAAGAAACATGTACGAGGTCGAGATATCTACCTTCATTCAAAGGTGGTGTACTACGATTGCGAATAAAGAAGGCGAGATTAAAGAATAGAGTGGGAATCCTAAGCCTTTTCAACTGTTTCTGCTATTAAAATCAGATGGAATTAAAGACGGAAAAACTTACCATAATTCGTAATACGTACTGAGGACCAACTTCTGCTCACTACTGATTTCTGTTCCAAATTAAGAATACTATGTAAGCGTCTGTCTATATTTCTGAGATGAGGTATTATGTACATTATTTACATTATTCGGACTATTGTCCTCATCTTTGTCGCCATATTTATAACAATTTCGGCCGTTGTACGCTCCGGCCTTCTTCAGGTGGTTGGAATGTCGAACTTAACTCTTTATTTCGCTCACTGGGGTAGACTGTTCTAGTTCCACATGCCATGTTTAATGGATGTCAGACACCATCATCAGTTTACGATCAATGTGTGGATTGGGATTCTATGTGACAGTCTGGTAGGTGCATATGTTCTCCCAGCAAAGCTTACAGGAGCTGTCTACAGGGACTTTTTTCGAATACACTTCCAAACCTGCTAGAGGATGCACCTTTGCTAATACGAAAATGTATGTTGTTTATGCCTGATGGGACTCCAGAACATTTTAGTCACATCATTCTCGGCGCATTGGCTGACATCTACTCTGAAAGATGGATAGTTGGGGGAGGACCGTAGTTGGGGGAGGACCGGTTCCATGATTGCTTCCTTTTTTAACTTTAATTCATTTTCATTACATTATATTCAGATATGAATTAAGATCGGAATAGTGCAGAGACATCTTACGCACAAATCTATAAGTATCCAACTAAATCTCAAGCTAATATTCTGATCTTGCCAGAATACTGAACATGTAATTTGTGATGGACGGCAAAGTATATATTCTGATCTTGCCGGAATTCTGAACATGTAATTTGTAATGGACGGCAAAGTATAAAGGATTTCGTTTAATATGGAACACAAGGGGACGTCTTGTCGGTTGTATATCGTCATAGCTCTGTTTTAGGATAGTAAGAAGAATATAAGCGATTGCAGGAAATGATGTTTCACCCAGCTTCTCTGCTGATGGAGATTTAAATCAGCTTTCCATCTCCATTCTTTCTATAACATTTCTTGTCAATGACCTTCGCGTGTCTTTTTTTTTTTTTCAGCTTAATTCGAAATTATCTATTGTGTTCTCTTCTCTTTCTTTGCAGTGGAGACCAAATTCACAGATATTATGGCTTTTCAACTAAGTAACACAGGAGACTGTGACAATGCCGACTCCTTATTGACAATCACTTACATCCAATCTCGTCCCGATTGCAAATTGGTCACCGCCGAGGTAACCTTTCAGGGCAAAAAACAAGAAACGACAACCCTTCATGAAAAAATAAAAAACAAAATGGCAGACGGTAAGCAGATTTATCGAAACTTTACAATTATTTAAAATATTCATCTTGTTATGAACTGAAGATGTGACCGCCTTAGATCGAAACTACAAAGAAAAAATCACAAATAAAAACACGTGTGCATATGTGGTGAAATTCTTACATCGCTTTCGATTCAAATGTGGTACGAATTTCTGTTGTTTTCTTTATGAGTCAGTACTTGCTCCTGTTGGTTCAAGATTATTCTCATATCTTTTTCAAATAAATAAAGTTTACCGAGCAGTTCAAATAGCGTTCTAAAATGCTTTTGCGTAGTAGATGAGACATTATTAAAGGGCCTTCTACATTTGTATTGCTTATTCTAATAGTATTCTGAAAGTAATGATCACATTTCTTGTTCTAGTGAATTTAATAAAACCACGCTGTTCTTGACCTATTTCTGGTCTAATTCTATTTGGCGCGCTTTTCATCGTGATCCGGAAGGTCAGTAAATTGATATTTATTAGGTACGACATGATACCGAATATGGGAAACGTAAAAGACTAGCGCAATATAAGTTTCAAACTGATGAAAGCTTGTCAAAAATGCCTTGAAAATCGGTATATTCGAACTTTTAACTGGGTTTGATCACGGACCACAGCCACCAGAAAGAAATATAAAACTACCTTAGCTACGAAGATGTCAACAAACACAGAACCTGTGACAAACGGAATTTTTAAATGATTATATGTTTATGAAATAATATATCTTAAATGTTTCAAACGAGCGTCATAAAAGATCATTGTCTTTACGAGTCTCTCTCTCTTTCTCTCCCTCTTTCTCTCTCTCCCTCTTTCTCTCTCTCCCTCTTTCTCTCTCTCTCTCTAATTTCTCATTGTTCAGACAGACAGACACACACACAAGACGTGTAACAAAAAACTGGTTATCAGGTGTCTATTCAATCGCTTGTTTTCAAAGAAGGACGCTGTGAACTTTTTCACCCAACTAATATATACAATTATTTGCTACATCTTTGACATTTCCTCCAAATTTGCAGTTGTATATTTTATCAAAGATAATTTTATATCAGAAAATAATACCGTAACTTCAATATTATTTGTCAATTGGTATTAATTCTAAAATGTTGTATTTGTGCGGTGGTTAGCTACTTGAAAGACGAAATCTGTGAGCCATTTTCGAATTCCAACTCGTTGCCTTCACTTTCGCAAACATGCTCTTGGGAAATGTATGAATCCCTCTTCGCTCCCAGCTATGGGTTAAATAGCAGTATGGTATGGGCTCTCTTTATTTGAACTGGCAACCAGTTTAAGAATTCTGAATTCAAAACCAGCCCTCAGAGGGATGGGCTCCGACAGACTATCTTGCCCTTGACTGCTTTAAACGCTGCACTACATGTGATGCATGAACGGATCTCGTGATGTAATTCATTCTGGGCTAGCATTTCTTTCAACTTGCTTCTAGTTACTTTCCATTGCCGTTTATTCACACTGTCGATCTACAGCACTAAATTAGCTGCACCGAGCGGAAATGAATGATAATGCTTCAACTAATAAGATCAGGATAACATTACTAAAACTCAGTATTTTTCTACTAAGAGATCTACTATGGAAAAAAAATGTAGAAAAGAAATCAAATGTTCTGTTATTTACACGAATAAATGAAAGAATGGTCGCAAAGCTCTTGCCATCGAAAGATCGTGAAATATTTTAAAGAACTGCTTCTATAATTTTATAGAGTATTAAAAGTTATCCTCATTAGGTTGAGATGTACTTATATCGGCACAAAGGAATAGTCTCTCCTCTCAACTCAACAGAACGCCAATGATTACATCCTCATGAGTAAAACATTGACCCACCAACAACGCAAGAAGAATGTCTACATTTTGGTCACGTCTTTTGCAATATTCTTTTCCAGTTTTATCGGCCCGACCCCGGAAGCTGCTTGTTTTCAAAAACCCTTACGGCGGAACCGGAAATGCTTTAAGCATATTTTCTCGCGTCCGACCCATTTTTGACATAGCTGGAATTACATGCGAAGAAGTTGGTAAGTTCATTTATAAGTCACTTGGATTTTCTGGTCATTTTTACATTATGAACATTGTTTTAATAATTGAGATCTTTGGTTCAAGTAGAGCATTTCCTCGAAGTGAAGAAAATATTTTACGAAAATAAACTTTCCAAAATGTATACAATGTCTTAACACTTTGAGCCCTGACCACCGCTTTACCGGTGGCAGAGAAAAATAACATAATGCCCAGCCACCGGTTGAACGGTGGATAAACACTTGTAACTATTTTTATTTCTACCGTGAAACGTTACATAGCAATTATTTTCGAATTTTGACTCAGGTGCTCAGGCAGAAGAAGGGTTCAAATTGTTCAGGAACGCAGGACTGAAAGGGTTAATAATGAAAAAGACATTATTCACAAGTTTACACTTTTAACGTAGTGTTACCTTGAATATTTGAACCCTCAATATTGGTTTTAGAGTTTACGTTAGAAATGGCTATATTAGGTTAGTTATAATTTACTTTGATAAATCAAACTACATCTATTAACCCATTCACTGCTACCTTGGATATTTAAATCTTTATATAATACCACGTATGTTTTTAATGAAAGTTATCATTATGAAACGTTGTGATTGTAACAAAGTGCGTACACTCATCTGAAAGGAAAGGAATATGTATGATAATGATAATAATGATTATTATTATTATTATTTTATTTCCTTTGATTTCTGATATAAACGCATTTCTTTCCGGGTCCCAACCAGAGACCTAAGGTTAGAAATGGTATCGTGATATTTTCCACTGATTATAAAACTAAGATCACACAACATATTTTACATAAGATAAATCTCTTCGTAAGATGTGAGCTGTACTTGTAAGTACAATATTTTTGTATTTCTTTAAGGCATGAGCTAGCAGGAATCCCTTCAATTAGTCTATCGAGACTTTTTTTCCGATTAATCCGAGGGGGTTCCAACTACAACTGGAATTGTTCATCTCCTCACGTGCCACATTTTTCAGATTTTGATCTCAAGATTCTTCTACTTTGATAGTATTATTATTATTATTATTATTATTATTATTATTATTATTATTGTTGTTGTTGTTGTAATTAGCTGACAGAAAAATAATTTAAATATTTGCAAACCGTAATTAAACTGTTGAGAATTTATAATTAGCGTTATCTCCAAATTTGTGATTTTTCCATTCATATATTTTACGTGTTGTAGCACTTCATGACAACCGGAGAACAGGACGGTCAAAATGAGATTAATTCAAATGTATGTTGAGATTTGTCATTTGTTTTTGTTTTTCTTCTAATCAACAGTTACGACAAAAGCGAAAGATGCTGAGGAACGAATACAAAAATTCAACCTTTCACAGTATGACGGGTAAGTGGCCGGACATTGCAATTTTGGCAATTAAAAAGAAAAAAAGTTCAAATTGGGTTCAGCGTTCATAGAGGGGAAACTGAATCAACATTTAATTTCCAAGTCGGACACTAACAAAACAAAATGTCCGTGTTTTACTCGAAATAAAATGTATTATTTACAACATTTAAACGAGACTGATTCAAATTAGAACTCTCTCTCTCTCTCTCTCTCTTTCTCTCTCTCTCTCTTTCTCTCTCTCTTTGACTCTCTCTTTCTCCTTCTCTCCCTCTCTGACTTTCTCTCTCTCTCCAACTCTTTCTCTCCTCTTTCTCTCCCTCTCTTTCTTTCTCTCCCTCTCTTTCTTTCTCTCCCTCTCTCCTCTTTCTCTCCCTCTTTCTTTCTCTCCCTCTGACTCTCTCTGTGACTCTCTCTCTGACACTCTCTCTCTCTCCTTCTGACACTCTCTCTCTCTCCTTCTGACACTCTCTCTCTCCTTCTGACACACTCTCTCTCTCTCTCTCTATTTGCTTATAACTGACATTGCTGTTCATGTTTATTTACTTACCCATCATTCTTTGCAAACAAGTGCGACTAAGAAAAAGACAAATATTCTAAGTTTTCTAAAAATGGAAAATTCTTTTTCCTCATCAGTTCAAATGATAAATAAGTTGTGAAATATGAATGGAAGAGAAGTTGGTTGAAATTCGAGAATAATGAACGAAGATAACAATTGATCTTTTACTTAAAGAAGACAAAATTGAAGTTTTCAGAGAAGCACTCAGGCGGGAGACTGTTCCACAAAATCTGAATGGAACTTCCTTCTTACATTTGGAACACGGCGGAAAACTCGACTGATTCGACTCCATGGAAGTAGCACGGTGTCTCCTAACAGTAAAGGTTTGAACCGGTGGATCTGAACAATGGAATTCTTCTGAACATTTTCCATGGAAATAGCGAGAGAATCACGTACAAAGTTGCGTTTGTAGGAAAGAGGTTGTCATATTCTCATCATGCCATATTTTTTCGAATTCTTGCATTTGTCTTATTTTAAAAAAAAAACATTTCAGCCGATATATTCTTCGAACTTCCTCAAAGATGCATTGCATCTAGGGAACTTCAGATGTCCCTATATTATTCTTTTTGCTTCCTTTTCTTTCATCTTGTCAGCAATAACATTACAACACAGGTAAACCACAGGACTGAGTGTTAAGGTTTCATGTAAATAGAACTTATGCGAGAAGAGACGAATTACTATGCACTCTGTCTCCGGTTATTCATTTTTTGGACAGACACCAATGTGTCCAGTCTTTCACCTGATAGATTTTCCCTCATTCTAACATGTCGATTATTTCATTCCAAAAGATGCCAATTGTGATCGTTTTTCATTCTACGCATGTTTTGTAAGGCTTGATTTATTGTTTCACATTGAATAATGTCTTCTCGGTCCTTAAATTTGGTTTTCTTTTTACCTCATGATATCTTAGCTCGTTTATAATCTTCAATGCGGTTGAATATTGCATACAAAGACTGAAAACAAAATGGTCGATTCGCTGTCCCGCTCTAGTAAGTCCCTGACTCTTCCTGCTACTCTCTACCTTTTAGACTCGCCAGATCAGGCTGAATCTGAAGTACTGCTGCCATATATGGGCAGAAGCTGCCCAGTCTACAGTTTCCACTCGCGATAGATTTTAAAAAATGCAGCCTTGTGTGTGATGAACGATTTCCCACTCTACAACCCTCACAGAGGAAACGTCGCAAATCTCTCGCTACTCCATAGAACTTATGGTTACATTTAAAAATTTCAACTGTAAAATGATGAGACCTATCTGCCAATCTAGTACTGTACTTAAGTTCCTAGAGTCAAGATACCAAAGAAGATAGCTCATCAGATTGCACCACCATGGAAATATTTATAGAAAAGACACAAGGAAACTGTGTTATGGAGGTGGGGAATGTGACTGAAGCAGAACCAACAACATTTCATATTTCTTCTTTGAATTTTGTCAAGCATCTCCAGATACATCGCAGAAGCACCCTGTCAGATGTGATGGCGATATTCAATGTACGGACGAATAGACTTATAAAGGTGTTAGGTTAATTGTGGCGAGGAGGATTGTCTTCAACGACATAGTCAACCAACTTTCCTAACAGCAGACCCCGCAATTGATTCTATATAGTCGTCCCACTTCACATCAGTGGAAGACGTTATCCCGAGTAGAAACAATGAGGACCTCTTCGGGAGGTTAGCATCAACCATACTGATGGAAGACGAAAAAGGTTCTTTAAGATTATTAGAGAGCAGTTCCAAGAAGGCATTAAAATTAACAAGCCAGTTCTTGTCCCAGTTAACAACAGATAGACCGTTTTGAGATTAGTCATCAATTGGACTATATCAAATGTAGCAGACTTACCATTTCGATAGGAGCAAATAGTTGTCATCAGTATAGATAGCGAGTCTAGAATAAACATCACGAAAATAACCAAGTTTTCGATTACAATCGAATTGACCCTATATTGATTCTGTTCGATTCCTTGGAATACAATTTGGATTAGCTGTGATCAATTCCTTACATGTGCGTTTTGTTTCTCTTTTAGTGTGGTTGTGGTGGGAGGAGATGGTCTTCTGTCCGAAGTAGTCAATGGATTGACACGATACGCACAAAACAAAGTCGGAATCAACTATAATGATCATACTTTGCAGCACGCCCCCTGCAGTCTACCAATTGGAATTATTCCTGCAGGTAAGGCAGATAATTCAACAATTCCCTTTGCTGAAAGATGATCTCTTATAGAATTCTGCATATTTGCAAGTGTGTGTGTGAGAGAGAGAAAGAAAAAGAGAGAGACTGGATTTCAGTATCTAATTCCAAATCCAAATCCAGAGCCTTCTCACTCCTGTTGAAGGACCCCCCCGCAAACACCTGACTGACCATGTCTTCAAGGGTGTAGCCGTACTCACCACGCTTAGCCAATAGCGGATTGGTAAGACTATTTAACCTATAGTTGAAGGTTTCTAAATCCAGAGCTGTCCTTCTCCTAAACCGGTTACCAGCCTAGACAATAGGACCCAATCTCTCCTGCTATTTACCCATATTCGTTTTATTGGTCCAAATCAAAGTCCTACACATTCCGGTTAGAAGAATCCCCTCCCTGATTTACTAGGTCTTCAGGGCTATAGCCGTACTCACCATGCTTGGCCAATTATTTTAGCTCATAGTTGGAGATTTTTCAATTCAGACCGGTTACCACCCAAGGCTATCTAATTAGGATTTGATAATAATCTTTAATGGCTTTGCTTTAACTCTTGAATGGAAATGCTTCTTTTATGTGCTGTGTCTTTCCATGGCGTGGGCAATTATGTTTCTCTACAACTTTTGTGCCCAGTAATTGTCCTTACTATCCATTCTCAGTCCCTATCATGATAACCGTTTGCACAAGCACTTTAGGTAAGTTACTCGATTTTTCCTTTGGCCCTTTTGCCTCTGAAATGTCCTTCTTCGTGTCAAATTCTCCAATCCTTCTTTCCTCATTATGTCTCCCAGAAATTTCAACTCTTTCTGGTTCTAAGTCGAAATTTAACTTTTTGTTTTCAGTTTTCCTTGAAACTTCTACGTTGCTCAAATTAATGTAAATTTATTCAAAATCGCCATTGGCTTCAACCACGGCTTCCAAACAATCTTCTGCATCTCTTCTGGACGGTCTCCTTGTTTAAGTTGACGAATGCTGTCATAATCCTTGTCTTCATTCCATCTTTGGTGTTACAAGGAGTTTTGTTGGTCTCTCACTCAACTGCACCCCATACATAATAATCGAAGGCGTTGCAGTGTCACGTGGCCATATGCAAGGGATGATGCGGTTGCACAAAATATCTGACATCCATGACTAAGTTCTCCTACTTGTGTGGCATAGTGCAGAGGCCTGTTTCCAGACATAGGGTCTTCCAGCAGCCAACCTCTTCATCCAAGGCAGCACTACCTCCTCAAGGCATTTGATGTAGGCCTCCGTGTTGATTCAATAAATTCAGAAAGCTCAGAGTGAGTTTTCCGAGCTGCCGTACCTTCGTAATCATCATTAGACTCTCTCATTTTTTTCCGAATCCTCTACTCTGACCTCAGATAGACTCCCAAACACTCTGAAATGTTCGTGTTAGAGCTTCCAGTACGAATGCCAAGCAGTACAGCAGGCCGTTTCCAAATTTCTAGAGGAGTAAATTTCGTCGTGGTGCTCTGTTTCTCACAGACGGTGCCCAACTGACCCTACTATATTATGCAGTCGACAGAACCAAAAACAACACGCATGCGCGAAATTAAAAATAGATGTCACGAAAATTTACCCATCGCACCCATATATATATATGTGTGTGTGTGTGTGTGAAAATGTGTTTATCGTCTTTTTAAATGTTGATGTTTCTTGTCTATTTCCATTTTACAGGGACCAAAATACTTAAACACATTTTTCTGAGCTGAGTGTTCTTGGCAGTCTTCTGCAAAATTCGTTTGGTTCTTGCAGATATTCAGATTGCTAAATGTTTTTCGTTCCAAACTTATTCCCATAATATTCTTTATATTGTGTTTTGGTTAACAAAAACGAAGCGAAACTAACCGCTTCAGCCATTTTCTATCTCGATAAATAATATCCAACGTGATATCATTTTTCATTCATTTCTTCAATGAAAATCACAGTAATAAATCATTTTACAAACATATTCTCGTTTGATGTATTTTCTAACCTCACATGTTTTCTTTTCATGAAATTTCTTTTGTGTTCGTTTTTAATTAGTCTTATCACGGCATTTATATTGACAGGAACCGGAAACATCTATGCAAAAATGTTCCACGGCATTCGAGAACCAACTACAGCAGCGCTTCATATTATTCGAGGTGAGCGGGCCAACATGACTGGTCTCATATAGATCAGCTGCAACAATTAATCTCATCGAAATTATAGTCAATACTCGTTTCATGCCTTTCCCCCTATATGATTAGTGTCAAGAGAATACAAACTACCTCAGCCAGAATTTGAACTTTTATTCCGTTTCCGGTGCCTTTAACTGCTAGACCAACTAATTTTGCAAAATTCAAAATATCCTATAAATATTGAAATATGTGATTCTCCTCAAAGCAAGGATCATTTATCCCTTTAATTATTCTGGCGACTATAAAGAGGAGGGAGTAATTAAAACGTTAAGAATGGATCTAACGTAATTAAAACGTTAATAATTTTACATGTTAACGCTTTAATTACGTTAGAATAATTCTTAACATGTTAATTACTTTAGATCCATTGATCTAAGGTAATTAAAAATCGATTCATCTAAGGTAATTAAAAATCGATTCATCTAAGGTAATTAAAAATCGATTCATCTAAGGTAATTAAAACGGTAGAACTTGTTCTAAGATAATTTAAAACGCTAATAATATTTAAATTTTAATTAAAAGGTTAATAATTGTTTTAGGTTAATTAAAAGGTTAATAATGGATGTAAGCTGCTTTAAACATTAATGATTATTCTAAAGTAATTAAAATGCAGGATGAACAACCAAACAAATGGCTTGATCGACTGATTAAGAAGATCCATTTACAAAGAAAGATGCGACCATAAAAGTTAACAGAAACTTTCCCGCTATACATTTTACCAGTAAAAACAAAACACACCCTAAATCGATCTTTAAATAACCAACTGACAATTGACTTTTTTAAAATAAAGATGCTAATAACGAAGCGTAAACTATTTGTCTCAAGGCATAGAAATGTACAGGGAGGCATGTTTCCCCAAAAGACCATTGTTTAAATTTCTCTTACTCGATGTTCGTCCCAAACTACGCAGACATTTTCTAGGGGCCTGCAAATGTTTATGAAAAAGAAATCAAATGAGTGTTGTTCAAACATCTCTCCTCATTCGGTTCAAATTGTTCCACCGATGACAGCAAAAAAAAAAGCTAACCAACACTGATTAATCCATCTTTCCCATGTAACATCCTTATGTTAACACAACTGCTAAACCCATTTCTGATAACGACTTGACTTAATGAAGATTTCTTTGAAGAATCATTCTGTCAAGTGAACATCAGTAAAAACTAACAACTAATAACAATAGATTATCATTCGTCGAGGCGTTGATGAGCCAAATTTACGACATAAACGTGAGTCAATGTTTTTAACTAATTTATAATATATTATAACAGCTGCCCTTTTTCCAGTCTGCTGGGCTGGGTATCTAATCCCTGTTGCAGACGCCTGTTCAGACTCCACCTGCGGGTTGTATTGCAACTCTACTGAACAGTTTCTGAGAGTGAGAGGGCAAAGACCAATACTTTCAAGCCCTCGGCCACGATGACTTATGTCTTCGTGTTAGCACAAACATTAATGGCTTTCGAATAGTTTCGTCTACCTAATTTCACTAGAAATTGTTGGATCAACCCGTGGTATGGTTTTCAGGCACTGGCCGCACGGTGGTATCGTCTCTCAAAACCGATGCTATCAAGAAGTCACCTTGACAAATCAGCCATGATGAGATTCGAACCCGGGTCCTATTGGCGAATTGACTGATTAACTGAACCTTTTGTAGGTTTTTTAAAGCTATGAAATATTTTGGGATTGTAATAAATATTTTGGAGATAATGATTTACTAATTAACCCATAATTGGGGGCAGACGTGAATTCATAGCGTTCCCAAGTATGTTTGCACGTAAGTGAATATAACGAACCCACCTGGAATTGAAACTTGACTCTCCAATTTCTAATTTCGAGGCGTTATCCATTACAGCCCCCCTGCACATCCAGACTTACAGCACCTGGTATTTCCAGACAGTCACCCACCTAGCTACTGACTAGGCTCAGCGTTGCTTAACTTCAATAATCGTAGGAGAACCGGTGTTCCAACGTTATATGGCTGTAAAAACCTCCCCACACCCCACATCACCCCCGGTCGGGACGCTAACGTTATAAATACTCCGGCACGTACCTATAATTTATATAGAGACGCGTCCTGGATCTGACGATAAACTACATCTAGGCCTCTGATCGGAAGGTTTTGAGAAGCGTGGAACCACCTCTTAATTATTATTGTTCCCAGGTTTAGCCTGACCCAGGGTGGTAGCACCTGTTAGGGTCCTAACTATGGGCAAACAGTGATCCCCAAAACTAGTGCCAAATCATGAAAATATAAAAATGTATAAAGAAAACTTACCAGCAATACGTTTTCCCAGTAAAAAATACATTTTTTGTGGGGAAAAAAAAACGTTCACAAAAAAATAAAATCCCCGTGTTAAATGACCCATAAGAAGTCGGTGTGCCTTTAAACAAACCAAACTTATATACAGACATAAAGTTTACACGTTAAATATGTCTTATGGTTGTTGTTTTTTTTATATTTCCAATATTTTCTCAAATTTTGATTGTTTCATTTTAAACATTTTCCCAGTATTTTATTTACCCAGTCTTATATTTTTATTTACATATATTTTGTATATATATCTTATATTTAACTAGTCCTATATTATATATATATATATATATATATATATATATATATATATATATATATTTTTATGTTTACCCAGTCCTATATTTTATATTTACACACACACACACACACACACATATATATATATATATATATATATATATATATATATATATATTTATATATATATATATATATATATATATATATATATATATATATATATATATATATATATATAATAATATTTACCTAGTCCTGTATTTTATATATTTTATATTTTAAATTTTGTATTTACATATATTTTATATATATATATGTTTTATGTTTACCAGTCCTATATTTTATATTTACACACACACACACACACACATATATATATATATATATATATATATATATATATATATATATATATTTATATTTACCTAGTCCTGTATTTTATATATTTTATATTTTAAATTTTGTATTTACATATATTTTATATATATATATATTTTTATGTTTACCCAGTCCTATATTTTATATTTACATATATTTACATATATTTTATATATATATATATATATATATGTTTACCTAGTCCTATATTTTATATTTACATATATTTTTATATATATATATATATATATTATGTTTACCCAGTCCTATATTTTATATTTACATATATATATATATATATATATATATATATATATATATATATATATATATATATTTACCCAGTCTTATATTTTATCCATTCTTTATCGAATTTTTATTTTCTATTTATTTTTGTATATTCGTGATTTTCAAATTTGCAGGATTGCGAAAAGCCAGCAATTTATACAGCATCCATCAAGATGGGAAACTCTGTGCATATTCGATTTTAGTTTTTGGTTTTGGCTTTCCTGGTGACCTCATCAAATCAAGTCAGTCCAAAAAATATTTGGGACGGTCGAAATATTTCTGTACGTATTATTGGCAGATTTAATCATTTTTTTTCATCATGACTTTTAGCTTTATATATATATATATATATATATATATATATATATATATATATATATGAAGCGATTTTAAGGTTATTTTGATATTTGGACTAATTCTGGCGTTGCTTCTGTTGGGCCCACAACGTTTCAACCGCCGATTCTTTCTACGGCCTTCTTCTAGTATATATTCTTAATCGACCCGTGAAATTTTCAACATTTATTACATATATCAGGCACGTACCGTCCAAAATTACTCAGGGTAGCCAATTTGTGACCTTTATGTAGTAAATCTTCAAAATATTTAAATATTTTGCATTTCGGGCATAATAACCAGAGAAACATTCATAATTTTGTTGGATTAGTTTCATATTGTGCCATAGAAGGAAAATGCAGCTGCTAATCTATTTTATTCAGGATACTGCCTACCTTGTCTAACTAGACGGCATATATATATATATAAGTGGACATTGAAGTCAACACTCGGGCGACAGACTGTTTCGTGCTAGACGACAGGCCTGAGTGTTGACATCAATGTCCACTTTTATATTTACATACGCTCTGTCTCTGATAGTGAGCACTTTATCCCATAAATGTAGCACAACTTAAGACTATTTCTTCATATATATATATGTGTGTGTGTGTCGGGGTGTATGCGTGTGTGGAGAAGGTTGCAATGAACTGTTCACGATATGGACTACAGACACGTTATTCCTCCCGAATGTATTTCATAAAAAAACTTTTAATTACGTGACCGCTAAGACCAAATCTTTTACTCTGTGTTACTGACAATGTCTTCACCTTAACTCAACAAATCGACCCTTGAGAACAAAGTGAAAATTTAGTTTCTTAGCTCAAACTGGCAACCCTAGAATAGATAATTGATAATGTGGTTTGGGTAACTTCAATATCAACGATTACAAAATTGAAATAAAGAATGAAATAAAAATGGCAGTCGCATAGCGAACAGATAATTTTTTTTTTCAATCAGAAAAGATAAATTTTGCTCCACTGGGTCTTCACCAACATTCATGGCACTGATAGGCAAGATGAATAAAAAAAAATGTTCGTGATTTTATTATGCCTACATATTTGACATATGTGAAAAAGAAAAGAACAAACAAGGGGGTTGAAGGGAACAGACGGTTCTAAAAAGTCGAACAACAAACGAATCAAGCTTTCCACTCAATCTACAGACCTTTTCCTGTTTAACCTAGAGAACGTATCTAAAATGGCTACTGAACATTTTTTTTAAAGATTGCATTATTTTTCTTTGTTCTGCTTTACTGTTTGTTTGTTTTTTGTCTAAAAATATCAATGATTGTTTTTTGCCTTAGTTTGTTCTTCATGTTACTCGAGTAGTGATTAATCACACGCTGCCAAAGCGACTGTTTTTTTCCTCTCGATGTCGCCTCGAGAAAAGCATTGCTTTTAATCTTTGTCGTAACTCCGCCATTGAAACAGCAAAAACATCCCAGACAAAACATAAAAGACGATCTTGAAAAAAGGACATTTTGAACGAGAAAAACAAATGGAGACGTAGTTTTAAGCACGTACAAATATTTTGTACGCCATTCAGCTTAAAGAAAAATATTCTACACAAAAAAAGGCAATTGTAAATAAGATTGAGGCCACACCGTTTATTAGATTTGCTCTTTTTAAGCCTTTAAATAATTTTCCGATACCCCTTTTATTAAGGCCACCAGTTTAGTGCATATTGAGAATGATTCCGACGCCCACCCATTTATGAAAACCTCACCTCTTATATTAGGTGCCAAAGAATAGATTCCTCCTTCACTTCATCTTCCCACTTTGTGAAGATATTAAGAAGGAATTGCGAAGACACCTTGGAAAATACCATAAACTCTACACAAACAAACACACACACATATATATATATAGAATCTAGGAGGATTTTTTTCTTTTTTCTGATTTCTTTTTGAATTTGTAGGTCTGATGAATTTGATCGTATTTACGATTCGAATGTAATAAATTATGACCATGGAATATTAGTGTTAAGACTTTTTATTATATCCTTACTCTGTCTAGGACATTGAGTTCTACCTGGATTCTATCCTCTTGAATTATTTTTACACACACATATATATATATATATATATATATATATATATATATATATATATATATGTGTGTGTGTGTGTGTTTTTAGATATATGTGATATATATATATATATGTGTGTGTTTTTTTAGATAGATATATATATATATATATATATATGTGTGTGTGTGTGTTTTTAGATATATATATATATATGTGTGTGTTTTAGATATATGTATATATATATATATCTGTGTCTGTGTATGTGTTTTAGATATATATATATATATATATATATATATATATATATATGTGTGTGTGTTTTAGATATATATATATATATATATATATATATGTGTGTGTGTGCGTGTGAAAAGTGTATATAAATATAAACAAATATATATATGTATAATTATTTATATATTATATGCGCGGTACTTGTTAGAAAGCGCTCAATATCAGAGATAGAGCTAACATATTTGGTTGGATAGATGTGAGTTTGTGACCCTGGGTTTCACGCTTTAGCGATCGTCAGACAAACTGATTAATGTTTTAAAAATTTTGGGTTTATGTAGATTGCGTGTATTGGTGTTATTGTGGAAGTGGTGGGGGAAATTTCGTCGTTTTGTCATTCATCGTACTAACGCAAACATCGATGTATGCAGACACATATACACACTTGGTCGTCCGTCGGGACTCATACATATATAAACATATGTGGGCAGTTTCGGCTATGACACATGTATGTATGCGGGTGGTGTTATATCTATACATACGCATTTGTATGTTGAAATGTTGAAATCTAAACATTGGAAGTGTGACGGAAATGTCTCGTTGATGTGTACATGTCATATGTATTTTCCAGCTGGAAAATATTTCCTCGCATGTATGTATATGCGTGTGGTGGGGTTTGTGTAAAATTATGACAGGTAAAGATTATATTATTTATATTTATTTTTAAATTTTTGAAAAAAAAAAAATGGGCTTTATTTGTTATATTTAAAGCTGGTTAATTGTTTGTTTTTGGTGACTGTGTATATGTAACAGGTAGAAATTTGTAATCCTTATTGGTTAATTTATATGGTGATGTTTAGTTTAATATTCAATGTGCTGGGTGATAGGGTAGTTCAATTTAATAACGGGTTTATATGGTATGATGTGATAGTAATGTTTCAAGGGATTGGAGACAGAAATTAAATTGTGATTGTTGGTGGTTTGTCTGTTTTATCCGTTTGGTATGAATTCGGATAACAGGTACTTGTTCTCATGCCTACATTTGGAGATTATCTCTGATTTTTTGTTTAGTAAGTTCTTTTTGCGGTTTGTGTGATATTATTGCTACTTTTTCGTGTAGGCAAAGTAGGCATTTTTTCGTAATGTTGTTGTAGGCAGGGGCTTTTTTTTCAATATTTCCCAACTTATTGTTGGTGTGATGTTTTTCTTTTTTTGCTGCCATATGTATGTACAAAGTGTTGTGCTGTTCGAATATTTCCTGTTGTTGAATGAAAGGTTGTGATTGTTATTCCTCATTTTGAATGGGCCTTCGGTGGCACCGATGTAGTGCATAGTGTTGTTGTTTGTACTTACCTTGACCTTGTATATAGTGTTCGTAAGTTGGCAATTTCCTGGAGGGACATGTTGTTCTGTTTCTGCAGTTGCATATTGATCCTTAGTTACATTTTTGTAGGTTGTCATTTTTTTATTGTGGCTTTTAATTATTTCTGTTATGTTTTTTGTACAGCTGTAGCTGATCTTTACGTTATTTTTGTTGAATATTTTTGATAATTTGTTTTCTTCAGTGAAGTGTTTTTCTATTAAGTTTAGGAATATTTTGCCTATGTTCGTTTTAACAGTTTTGTTATATGGTGGATTGAACCAGATAATGCTTTTCTTTCTGTTTCTGCGTTTTGGCTGTGGAGGTATATATTGTAGTTGTGTGTAACCACTTGCTTTTATTGCTTCGTTGTATGGTGCTTTTTTACTATTGAAAATGTGTATGTTAGATGAGTTCTCAGATAGTCTGCGGCTGATTGATTTTGGTATTTGTTTGATGATAGAAGGTGGATGGTTGGAGGATGTGTACGTGTTGGGGTGTCATTTTCTTTTTGTATGGTTCATATGTGTTGTTGATCAGGTTAAGAGTGACGTCAAGGAAGTTTACTATTGTTGTGCCTGTATGTGTCTGCATACATCGATGTTTGCGTTAGTACGATGAATGACAAAACGACGAAATTTCCCCCATCACTTCCACAATAATACCAATACACGCAATCTACATAAACCCAAAATTTTTAAAACATTAATCAGTTTGTCTGACGATCGCTAAAGCTTGAAACCCAGGGTCACAAACTCACATCTATCCAACCAAATATATATATATATATATATATATGTGTGTGTGTGTGTGTGTGTGTGTTTTTAGATATATATATATATATTAAACCACTAATATTATCTAATATATATATATATATATATATATATATATATATAATCTCATCTTCAGGTAAGAAGAGATATATCTATCATCTCCAGGCAAGATGAGAACGAGTAGAGTACAATTCCAAAATTTAATTTAAAAAGGGCTCAATACAAAGTAGAGCAATATCGTTTATTTTAAGATATTACATATTGACATATTTTCGATGTAATACCCTTAAATATATATATATATATATACACACACACAAATAGTAAGAGTAAAAGCTGCCGATTAAATTTTAAAATAAGCTACAATCGAATGATGTTGCGAATAAAAGTGATGTATTCAATGTCAATTTCAAATGCCGTTTTCTGTTTTGTTAAATGCACCGCTTTCGTTTTGTTTAAAATGAAAGAATGCAGTTTGCGTGGCTACCATTAATTTTGAATGCAAAAAGATTCAGTGTATCGATTCACCTTTATTCCTTCATCCAAATGCAAGAACCAAATTCTTGTCAAGTGAATAATAGACTTTCCAAAAGCAGGTAATAAAGAGACACAATTCCATACGTCTCCAGAGAAAACGATCAATCTCTGTAGAAACTCGGCGCCAAATGGAGAATGACAGCACTATGTACTTATGCATATATATATATATATATATATATATATATATATAATCAATAAATATGCCTATACCTACGTTTGTAGTTCAACTTAAATTATTAGCACATACAGTTGCTAATATCTAATTATTTGTTTTATATCCACCCTTGTGTATCTGTGTGTGTGTGTGTGTATATATATATATATATATATATATATATATATATATTATGAATTGGACAAAGTCCAACAATTACTTTTAAGACATTTTTTACGTTTATACGTTCTTTTTATAGATACAAATATTTTAGTAAATGCTCTGTTTATAATAAACAGTATTAACGACATTTACCGACCTGAATGTCCGAGAAATTTTCATAGAAAATATGCGTCCTCCGACAGGAATCGAACTTATATTCTATATGGAACCGTCATATAGCCTGACGTGCTTTTACCGATTGAGCCACAAAGTAGCGTTTCGGTTAGCAAGGTTGATTTTACTCTCTTTAAACTACAATTCTCCATGATTTTCTCTCGTACATTCATATCTGCTCGATGCGTATCCAAATGTAAACAAATGACGTCAAACATTATGAAATGGACAAAGTCCGACAATTTTTTTAAGACATTTCTTTATGTTTATACGTTCTTTTTATAGATACAGAGCATTTACTTAAATATTTGTATCTATAAAAAGAACGTATAAACATAAAAATGTCTTAAAATATTTAAATATATATATAATAAATCAAGAAGAAAGCCTTAAAGATTCATTGTGTGTATAATTATTTCGTGAATATATCTATATATTCATCTCTTCAGACCGAAAGCTTTTAATAAATTTCATTTCCCCTGACTGATATATTAGTTTGACAGGGGTGGGAGGGAAAGCAAGAGAGTAGAGAAAGAGGAGGAAAGTTCTTTTTAAAACATGAAATAGAGAGAGGGGGGAGAGAGGGTAATGAAAGGAAAAGGGAGAAGGCAAAAAATGAAGGGAGAGTAGTAAAACTAAAATACAATGACCTGGCCAAAGAAATTTTCTTTAAAGTGTAGAAAGTTTGTATATCGGGTGATGCAACAACTTGGCCGATATGGCCTGTTATTTTAGGCAAGAGAAATAAACACAATTTCAAAAAAGGTCTTCTAATAAAGGACCCTTAATAATAATAATAATAAATATAATAATATCATCATAAATGAAGGGATTTTGAATAACTAATAATAAAAGAAACAATAAAAAATTTAAAATAAAGAATAAAAAAATAAAAATAAACCCTCTCTCTCTCTCTTCCCCACTCTCTCTATTTCAGGTTTTAAGACGAACTTTACAATCTGTCACTTTCCTTCTTCCTCTCCATCTTTCTTCTCTTCTTGCTTCCCCCCCTATCAATTTAGTATATCAGTCCAGGGAAACCTTCTTTATTATATTCACAAAATAAATTATAACCGAAACAGATCTTTAAGATCTTCTTGATTTATTATTATTATGCTCTGTAGTTTACATTGAGCTCTCTCCTTGGAATTAGCCCTACCAGTCATAAATTGGGAATAATATATATATATATATATATATATATATATATATATATATATATATATATATGCCTTTGTGTAACAGTTTAAAACCAGTGCTCATTGTGGAGCAGAGAGGGAAATTATAATAATAAAAGCGAATTAAGAAGAAATACAGGCACGACTCTCAGTGTTTCGTATTCAATAAATAATTTCTTCTAAAATGTGAATAGAATCATAAGGGTTCATGTTTTTGTTTCAACTTTTCACCCCAGGCAAGGCGGGAGTGCCACTAGTCCGCAAGGGGTTACAGAGTGTGGGAACAAAAGTAAAGAGGCGTGAAAGAGGAAATGATGAAGAGAAGGACGGGGAATAGATCAAGGCATCTAGAGATGTCGATTGACATGTCATTTGAATAGTTGGAGATTATAGCTATCAGGGAAGCAAGTAAGAAGAAGAGAGTACCACAGACGAGAAGTGCGAGACATGAAACTATTGTCTTAGAAGAGACAGCTACATTTAATCGTTTCGATAGTGAAAGGGTGTGACTGAGATGCCGGCCTAGTGGCAGGTTTAAATTCATGCAGATTGGGAACGAGCGAAAGGAGCAGAAAAGACAGCGAGAGGCGACGGCACGTCTGTGAGAGAGCGACTGGAAACGAGATGCCAGATCAGGGCCAATCACCTTAAGGCGAACAGCGGGGGGCACCAAACCATATATGGCAGCAGTATTCCATGCAAGGGCGAATGGTTGATTTATAGATTTGAAGGATGGACTCGGGCGAGAAAAACTTTCTGGCGCGACACAGGGAACCAACTTTCCTAGCGGTGGATGAAGCAAGTGATTCAATTTATTTGTTCCATCTCAGGTCAGCGGACAGTGTGACACCAAGCAGTCGCAAAGAGGTGCTCTCGTGGAGATAAGCATCAGACATTCTAATGGGAAGCAGGGAGGGTTATCTGTGGTGGGTAATAGAAAACAGTTTGGGTTTTGAGATATTAAAGTTAACCAGCCATTTCCTGCCCCAGTCAGCAATCGATTGGAGGTCCTTTTCGAGACCAACGGCTAGGTTAGTTTTGTCAGTGATACCAAATTTGCTATTTAGGCAGGAGTGCCGTCTGCATAGATGCTTACTTGGAAACTGATGACATCGAGAAGATCGTTAATGAAGATTTGAAAGAGTGTAGGACCCAGGATAGAGCTTTAGTGAACACCTGCGTTGGTGAGAAAAGAACTGGAGGAGAATCCGCAAAAGAAGACCTTCATTTCACGGTTTGACAGGAATGATTCTATTAAATCAAATACTCGTCCTGAAATACCATATTCCAGAAGCTTACAAAGTTATAACATTCTCACTCAACACGTTTATAGCCGTGTTTGAAAGGAAAGTGTGTAGAGTATGGTCGTCTCACCATACCACAGAAAACATTTTGAAAACGGCCATAATATGTGAGGAATAGTGCGTCTGTGATTATAACCCGGAAACCAAAGCTCAGTCTTCGCAATGGCAGCCTCCAAACTCTCCGAAATCGAAGAAATCACGAATCAGTTCAAGAAATGGGAAGACGCTGTTGACAGTTTTCTTCAACTACGAGGGCATTATTGAGCATGAGTAAGCTCCACCTGGTCAGACAGTGAACAAGGAGTACTAGTGTGATGTGCTGTGCTGTTTGTGGGATGCTGTTAGCTGGAAAAGGACATAACTGCATGCGTATGGTGAGTGGCATCTCCACCATGACAACGCACCTGCCCATTCCACGCAGCTTCTGCAGCAGAGTTAAGGTTGACCATGCACAATATTCCCCAGTTCCGACAACCACCATATTCTCCAGATTTGGTCCCTTGGACACCTTTTCCTGCTCGTTATCCCAAAAGAGGAGCTCAGGAATTTTTCCATTAATCGGAATGACGCTAGATAAAGAGAATAGCTTCAGAAGAGGTCTACTTTAAACGAGATTAAATGCCGAATTAGCACCTGTCCCGATATTTTTTGATCAATCGTCGTATATATATATATATATATATATATATATATATATATATATATATATATATATATATATATATATATACACTCTTTTATATTTCTTTTCTTTATTGTAGTCGCTGTCCTGGATTCGATCCTCTGGAAACACGATGCTTATCGGATGAAACTTTCTTTCCGCCAAGTCTTTTCACCAGAGTAAGTTTTTTTTTTTTTTCAAGCCCTGTTTGTTTTATTTTATTTACTCATTTATTGTTATTATTAAACAATGTTGCTGTCCTTGGCGCATCTCTGCTATGCTTAGTAATAATAGTAATAGTAGTCAAGTAAGGTACGGATATTTAATTTCTGACTTTCTTACTGTAGTCTGCTGGGTTGGTGATATTCATTATCATAACTTCACTTTCGTTTCGTTTGAAGTCGCAGAGAATTTTACTTATTCGATTGTCTAATCAAATTCTCGCTTTGTTTTCATGTTGTTTGCACAGTTCCATTGAATCACCGCTCATACCCAGTCATGTCTATTTCATCTTCCTAATTTGCTTCATTTATGTAATTTCCAATATCTTTTTTAATTCTTCTACTTTTTTTTTTTGGCAGACAAGAGACAACAGAGAAATCCGAGACTGGTAAGTTTTGGAATTTAAAAACTTTGAATAATTCTGTTTGTAGAGAAAACAAACTTTGATAAAATGAAGAAACTCTAGGAATTGCAAAATTTCTTCAAAGTGCACTAGACTGACCGCTAGAACAGATGATACTACATCATGATTTAAATTTTGCTACAAGTTGGTAATGTTTCCGTTCTATGCATATTTATGTGTGTGTGTGTGTGTGTGAGAGAGAGAGAGAGAGAGAGAGAGAGAGAGAATATAAGTATGTTTAAAAGTTCAAGCTAAACCATTTTCTTCACAAAAATGATTATTTGATCAGATTTGTAGAATCACTAACTTGTAGACACTCACATACATATATATATTGCTGGATAACTGTCAAGGTGATCCTTGTCGCGAATAATCTCTCCTTACCTAGAAAGGAGGAAATCCCAATGCAACTCTTCACGTCTCCCTTTGTTACGTTCGTTTCATTTGAAGCCATCTATTTTCTTGAGTAATGATTCCACATATCTTCTTCAATGTGACTTTATCGAGACTCTAGATCAAGTCAGTTGACTGCTGTTATTTTTCATCTCGTCAGACGGCCTGACGACTACCATCCTCATAAAAGGTGAAGAAGATGAGAAACCAGAAATTTACTAAATAATAAGAAAACTTTGTTCTGTACATCGAGCATTTTCATTATCTGTATCCTCACTTTTAATGCAACATTTTAAAGTTTTAATTAAGTTGTTAATGACTTTTTTATTTTCTTTAAATTATTTCGACAGTAGAGAAATTGACTTGATTGGCCGTAAATAATCTACATAAAGGAAGTCATCATTGATTTCGCGATGGCCATTTAGCTTAACCCAAAAATGAAGAATTGTTTTTGGTTGTTTTGTTTCACGGCATATCAACTCCTTAGTATAAGTTTAAAGTCAGCTGACCCGAAAATTAATATTAATAGCAACAATTGGTTGCAATTGAGGCATATCCCCAAAACGGTGAGTTAACAATTGGAAAGAGGGGGGTGGCCCTGAAAAGAGCCGTTTTTGCGTTCTCAATCTTGTTTCAGCCTCACGCACAGAAGCAGTTGAAGTGGCGTTTCTCCTGAGCCGCTGAGTCCTTTGATCAGCAGTTTCAGCCTCGCGCGCAGAAGCGTTCAGGTATGCTCTTCTGGAAAGCTGATGGCTACGTTGATCTTCGGAATCAGTGGCTCTGATTGAAGCATTCTGTGAGGCATTTTGAGACAGGCAAATTGAACGTTCTAAAGACGATTCGTTATCACTTATTCGCATGGCGGACCTGGCGACAGACGGTTTTGCGACCTAGGCAAGTTCTTTTCTTTGGTAGCATGTCTTAGGCAAGTATGAATTGTCAAATGGAATGCGTGGGCAAATAACAGAAGAGAACGCTGTAAAGCTACAGGGATCAATAAGCTTGAATAACTTTGGGAAAGATTGGAAAAGTAAATGTTGAGTAAAAAAAAAAAAACAAGCTTACTTATTACTACAGTGAATGCAATGAAAAAAAACCTAGCAGGACAATAACAAAAATTAAATTGGGAACGGCTATAAACGACAATGAAAGCAATGCCTTAAAACTGACGTAGTAGGCTTTATGCAACGGAAAATGTAACCTCACTTGAGAGATTGAACGCTTGGCCAAAAAAAAGGGGGAATGTGTAATTTGGACTCAAACCATCACTGAAGAATTATCTATCAAGCAAAAAAATATTCATCCAAATTGGATGCAAACTCTGGAAACGCATGAACAACATCGGATCACACACACACACACACACACACACACACATACACACACACACACACATACACACACACACACACACACACACACACACACACACACACACACACACACACACACACACACACACACACACACACATACACACACACACACACATACACACACATACACACACATACACACACACACATATACACACACACACATACACACACATACACACACACACATACACACACACACACACATATACACACACACACACATACACACACACACACACACACACACACACACACACACACACACACACACACACACACACACACACACACACACACACACACACACACACACACACACACACACACACACACACACACACACACACACACACACACACACACACACACACACACACACACACACACACACACACACACACACACACACACACACACACACACACACACACACACACACACACACACATACACACACACACACATACACACACACACATACACACACACACACACACACACATACACACACACACACAGACATTTTGAGAATTATAAACATAGATAATATTATTAATATTATTTAATAATTTAAAGCATTTATTTTTATTAAAGTTTTTATGAAATATCCAAGAACGGATAGTAAATAGTAAAACGTTGCTGAGATTTTTATAAGGGAGAGGAAGTAGTGGAGAGCCATTGTCGCTAACAATTTGGACTCAAAAACGGCACTGAAAGATTATCTATCAAACAAAAAACTTCATCGAAATCGGAAGAAAATTGTGGAAACGCATAAACAACATCCGATGACACACAGACACATTTTGAAAATTATATATATATATATATATATATATATATATATATATGAAGATACACCACGTGTGTTTAACTTCTTCGGGTTCGCTGCCAACTGATATCTATCCTACATATCCTCATAATATACATCGCCGCTTCTTCCTTCCGCTCCCGTTACAACAATCTCACTTAGTAACCATCTATATTGAGTGGCACTTTGGCCTTGTTTGGGAGAGAATAAAGCCTAACAAGAAATATAATATACGTTTACTTACCGACTGATATTTTGTATGTGCATATATAATTTATCTTTCATATATGAAATAAATTTGTGGTCAAATATTTCAGGGGGGAAATTTGACGTGTGTTACATTTTCAAACCTGAATATCTGAAAGTTTCAAAGACCCAAACTTTCTGTTCTGGACCAACATTGATTCTAACGTCTATAAAATCGACTTAAAGAAGTTTTCAACGAATTTATCGAATTTTGGAATGAAGAATTCTGAAGAATGTGAACTGACAACTTCCAGAAATTGGAGGAAATATTTGAAATAAATTTTCTTACATTTTTCTTAATCCTTGCTTTCCTGCTTGTTGGAAATCCTGTTCTGTAATACCAATCTAAAAGAACCCAGGCGAACCATCTGATCCTTTTAACTATCGGTCTATTAATGTTCTACCTCTCTTTGGTAAATTACTAGAGGCTCTAATCAACTCTGAACTGGTTGGGCATCTCACCTCGCAGTGTTTTCTTTCATATAAACAATATAGCTTTCGTTTCTGTAAATCAACTGCTGATGTATTAACGATTATTGCTGAAAGATTCTATCAAGCTTTAGATAAGAATGATAACGCTCAGTATGTTGCTATATATATATATATATATATATATATATATCCAAGTATATAATTGGTATATACGGAATGAATTCCAATAACCAACAATTACTATTCTTAAAAGAGTGCTCAATACAAAGTAGAGCAGATATAATTATTTTTTATAAAAAAAATTATAACATAAGTACGTTATAAAATCACTACAAAAATAGCCATTTTGTTTCAACACACTCTGTGTCTTATCAAGTGATGATGTTGAAAATTTTTGTGTGTGTGTGTGTGTGTATCTAATTATGTCTGGTTGCTTATGTATTATAATCTGATTGTGTTTTTGTTGTTTTGCGCGTGAGTTTAAGACCACATTCACACACTTTAAAATAAAAAAGGAAAAGAAAGGGAAAAGAAAAAATATATATACATGTATTGTCAAATGACCGGATATATTGTAGCGTCTTGTCGAACGTAATTTCAATGAAGAAATGAATTGAATAAACATATATTTTTTCTTTTCTCAATAATTTTGTAGTTTTTAAACTTAATAGTGATTAAATTTGGATTTTAAAATTGCCAGTTTTTAATTTTAATATTAAATTTTATCATATAATTTTATAATTATTGGTTAGTATAAATTATTTTTAATATTACACGTATTTTAAAGATCTGAATAGCTATTATAACATGATTTCGTTGTCAAGCTTTTGAATCTTTCAATACTTGGTTTTTGATTGGTTATTCTAGCTTTTGTAACAATGTTTCCCCCTAGTGTAGGATCGTTAATTAATATGAAACTTTTAAAACCATTTATTTTATTTTCAACATCATCACTTGATAAGACACAGAGTGTGTTGAAACAAAATGGCTATTTTTGTAGTGATTTTATAACATACTTATGTTATAATTTTTTTTATAAAAAATAATTACATAGAAAAGAATCATGACGCTCGGGTTGTCACTCGAAAGCGTTTGACAGGGTTTGGCACGCTGGTCTTCTTCACAATTTGAAAGGTTATGGTATTTATGGACGAAGTTTTGATCTGACTCTCTCTCTTTCTTAACAAATCGCCAAATGAAAGTTGTCTTGAACGGCCACTCTTCTAGATGATTTTGTATTAATGAAGCTCTCCTTGAAACTACGTTGTTCCTAATTTTCATCAAAGGTATCTCTGATGTCATCAGTTCTCAACTTGGTATCTGAGAAACACTATTCACTTCTGTCTTAATAGTAAATTTGATCGGTTCTTTGAGGTCAGATTGGCAGCTGAACTCAAAACCGATCTGCAATCTATTATTAACCGGGGCAAGAAATGTCTTATAAATTTTAACGCCTCCAAAAAAAAAACTGCTCGCTTTTAATTCTCTGAAAGAACTTAATTTTCTTCCCATAATCCTGACTGATGCTAACCTCCTGGAGAGTGACTCCCTGAGATTTCTCTGACTATAGTTTTCCGATGACACGAAGTGGAAAGATTATATTGAATCCATTTCTAGTTCTGTTGCGTGGAAATTTTGCTTACTGTTTCGTGCTAGACAATTTTTCCTGCCAAAATCTACCATTCATTCATGGATTGAATATTGTCGCTTCTTCTGTGCATTTCGACATTCTTGATAAAATACAATCTGCAATTTGATCGATCCTGACATCTCGGTTTCAGTCACTTTCAGGCAAGTTCTATGCTAACAGTTTCTTCTCTCGCACTTCTCACTTGTAGAATTCTCTTCTGACTTCTTGCTTACTGTTCAACTTTGATCTTTAAAAATTTAAATACAACGTTAATAGTTATCTATCTTTTTAATTCATCTTTTTTATTGTATCTTAATGATTTTCTTTTTCTCATTTTTTTCATACCCAGTAACCCATTGCGTCTTAGTGACTTTATTGCCTTACTTGGGGGTGAAATGATTAAAAATGTCTTCTAATTTGTCATCTCCAGTTACATTTACAAAATAGAAAATTGAATATCTCCATTAATATCATGTTTCAGTAAAACTTCATCAAACAGACAGACAGATCAAATTCCCTATGTAATACGAATTTAATCTGTCTGTCTGTTAGTTAACTACATCTCTGACTTACTTTAGTAATTGTTTTCTCAGGTTCTTACATGAACTGTTTTCAGGCGTCTTCGTCTTGCTTTTAGCAAACCATTATGGTCGATACGAAAGAGCGAGCGAGCATGATGGAATAATGGATAGCGGCTCGGATTGAGGAATCGGCGAGACGAGTTCGAATTTCAGTCATGTTCATGACATTCCCTTACGTGCTGGGTTCTATAGCCTTGGGTGGCAACCGGTCTAGGTGAAAGAGAACTCTGAATTCCCGCGGAATGTCGTTTGGGGACCTTATTCGGCTCTACCAAAAAAAAGTGTGATTGCTTCTACACAAGTCTTCACCATTATAACCAAATGATATGTGCTGATAGTCTGCCTGCTGGTTCTAAGAACCGAGCTGCTTTGATCCTCATACATCGACGGAGAGAGTCCTGTCTGTGTGTGTATATATATATATATATATATATATATATATATATATATATATATATATATATATATATATATATATATATATATATATATATATATATATATATATATATATATATATATACCTTTTGTTTTATACAGGAAATAGTTTAGATATTGGAGAATATTGAAAGGGTTTTCAATGTATTTTTCTTCCTCATGCAACAAATTGGAGGCTACAGATTCTAAGAGCTTTTAAACTCCCAATTCCTTTTAAACAGCCAATTCTTACCTAAGTATAAAAAATGCATTGAAAACCTTTTCAAATTCCTCCAATACCCGAATTATTTTCTACATAACAGAACAATTCAAAGCCTACAAATTCGACATAAGAAAAATAGATATATCCATTCTTACCTATACAATCATGTTTACACTTTTGTGATGCAATGTGTGATGATGATCAGTATGATCATCATCACTATCATCCCAAAATAGCTCTATTATTATTAGTAGTAGTAGTAGTAGTAGAATAGAAATTTCATTGCTTTCTGGTTTGAATTTTGTTTTCTTTCCTTTTCTTACTGAAATCAAACAGTGTTTCTTATATGTCTTTTCCGTATTTCCTCGCGATCAAAACAGAACATTTAATTATTTATGAGGTATTTGGTAGGGCGTTTCTTTCTTTCCTTCTTGTTTTTCTTCCTTTCATTTACTCACTAAAACCAAGTAGCGTCTCTGATATGATTTTCCTCCTCTTTCCACGCGATCAAAACGAAATAGTCCATTATTTATGAGCTATTGACAGGGGATAATTTAACGTACGCGCTAGCTAAGGGATGAGGTTGGGATTATTATTATTATTATTATTATTATTATTTCCATTTCAGATATGAAGACATTGGAAGGTGAATATCACGCTATCGAAGGTTTTTCCATGAATTTCAAAAAAACGGAAAATTCATTATTACCCAATTTCGGTGAAAATTTCGCAAAATTTGTTCTCGTCAAAAAATGTTCACGGCTTCAACATCTCGTCTTTTATGATCTTCTGCACAGTCAAAAGCCAAACGCTGTGAGTAGTTTTTTTTGTTTTTTCTCAAATACAAAACAAAATGACAATATGTAACTTTCTCGTCATTTTCCCCACCCCCATAAAAATTTCGTTTTTCATTAAACACTTTTTTAAATTGACCGCTAAACCGCCATTTTGTATCGGTGGATAAAAGTGGCCACAGCAATGGGAACAAAAACTTGAAGAGTTGAGTTATTAAAGAAAATGAACTAAAACTGAGATATCCAAAGGCATGGCACATGGAACTAGAACAATCTACTCCCGTGGACTAAATAAATGGTTCGGTTCGAAATTCCAAGGTATATCTCCTGAAGAAGGTGAGAGCGTAAAACGCCGAAACATCGTGAATATTGCAATAATGATGAGGACAACAGTCCGGACGATGTAAACAGTGTACATCGATATTTTCTGTATTGCGAGGGAGTTGACTCATCGAAACTTCTCAATATTAAATGAAAATTATAAAGAAATATTTGTATTCACTTCGATAAATTGTCGACAACCATTCGTATTTTTGGATGTCTCATTGTGAAGTAAGATTTCAAAATTCTAGTCTCGCTAATCATTACAATTGCACTGTATTGAATCCGCACTGAGTGCCTCACGCTTGTTACTTTCGACTAAAGCCATTGATATCAGTCTTAACAAACGAGTCTCATTAGATCTATTTCCGTTGGATGCTATATACTAAATTTAAGAAGATTGTACAGAAATTTTATTGGTAAAGTACTTGCCTTTGTCGTGTGAACCGAAAAATGGTCAGTCCTGTTCTGCTTTCTTATTGAAATACTTAAACATAAGGCTGGTTGCAACCCAAGGCAAAAGGACTCAGTCAGCCTGGCTATTTAACCCATAGCCGGAGTAAGATTACCTCTTGCCTTTTCCAAGGTTATTAGCGTGAGGCGAATGAAAATGAATAGACTGCAATTTGAGCTCTGCTCCCCGATTTCATTTTCCTCGATGACAAAACGTTACACTCCCCACCCCACTAAGGCGAATTAAATATTTGAGCTTTGTGAAGAGTTTCTTGTCATTAGAAATAGATGTGTTGATAATTACTGTTTTAGCCCAAAATAACGTTTATTTTTCCTCTTTTTATTAAAGTACGACCTTGGCTATATTGACTGCGTGAATGCAGAAAGTTGCCGGATAGAATTACTCGAACCTGAACTCCTTCGTAGACGAAATATGTATTTAAATTACGACGGTGAATTATTACCCATCACTTCCAGCATCGTCGACATTAGGTAAGTAATGCAATTCAGCTTTCTCTTAAATACAGCATAAATTACTCGGGGCCTACTTAGTGGATGACATAGGAGTATTTTCGCCAATACCAGTGACTGATGTTCGAATATTTGTAAAGAAAAAAAAAAAAAACAAGATTTCTCATTACTTTTTTCATGTAAACTAACCCCCCCAACCATCACTTGGAAGATTGATACAACTGTAATCTTATCGCAAGATTAAATCTCTCATGCGCAAAATGGTTGTTTATTTACGCCCAAACTCCGTCAATTAATATCGGCGACTGGGTGTGTGCCTTTGGGGGTTCTCTCCGAACGTGGATTTCCTTTTCGTGACTATGTGAAAGACTGCCCGTTTTTTCCATCTTGGATTGAATGCTCATATACCTCCCTATAATCTGATTGTTCCATGTGTCCACATCCTAAGCGCAACTGGGTCGACCACCTGTTTACATCTTACTGATATCAAGTGAGGCGCGAATCTGCACTTGGTCTCTAGGAGGTACCTTCAGGTTGACCCGTTAATGCACCTTACATCTCTGATGTGCAAAGTCTATTTTGATATTGTCTATATGGTGAATCGATTACATATAGGGGTTATTGCTGATCAACTTAACTTAAAACAAGGGTTCCTTATTGACATTAATTCCGGTTCAGAGCTCCTGGTATTTCCACTAAAATGTATACTGTTTGTCGCTCAGGTAGTTGTTTCTGTTGAGGTGATTGACAACTATCTTGTTGATGATAACCTCAAAGATTTTGCCGAAAACAGTAAGGAGCCTGATAGGGTGATATTGTTGCGTTAACATCACTCGCCTGGATAATACTAACGGATTACTACCTGTGTGCGTATATATGGTTGTGTATATATATATATATATATATATATATATATATATATATATATATATATATATATATATATATAGAGAGAGAGAGAGAGAGAGAGAGAGAGAGAGAGAGATCTGCAGAATTGTATTGAACACTGTTTTTTTTTTTTTTTTAAATAAAAATAATTAATAGGAACACCGGATTATAAATCTTACTATTCTTTCTCTTTATTTTAATATATATATATATATATATATATATATATATATATATATATATATATATTCGATTTATATTTTATATTTAAAATAAACAGGGATTAATATTTTATTTTGCATTTAAAATAAATGGCGACATCTAGTTTAGAAAGCAAAATTAATTTTTTGAAACTTTGAGTAACTGTAAAATATGTACTTGTTGCAAAATAAAACCATCACATTTGTAAAAACATAAAGTCTGTAAGATGATGAAACGCGTCGGCTAAACTAAGTATAATTTTCCTCTTGTCTTGTATATATATATATATATATATATATATATAATATTATTATTGGTGAAATCACATTATGAAACAAAAATTTAGATATTTGCTTACATTTTCGCCTGGAAATTTTTCACATAGTTTTTACGCGATTGCTGAAGTTTTTTGTGTTGTGGGTGTGGATCTAAATGCCATAGAATTTGCAGAGGAGGATGTGTGTGTTACCATGGCTGCACCATCGGCCAAGTATAAAACATTAGACTGCATATTTCTTTGGAACTCTACCAATGCCGACTTGTGTAAAAGAAGCGAAATAATCTGAAAGTGCCAGCACAAATCGAAACGAGATAGAATGTACAACGCATAAACTGTAACTTTTATAAATTTTCTGAGAATTAACTATAAAATCATCCCTAATGGTTCCAAAATGTTCTAAATTCCTTTTTAACTTCTCGGCCGTTTTAAAGATTTAAAATTCCTTGAAGAAAAATGATTATGTAAAGAAGCTGAGAACTAAGAAAGAATTTATAAATTATTTGTTTGCCTTTTTTCTTTCTTTCTTTTTCTCTCTCCAAATTCTTAAAAAGATGAATTTGTTTTCTCTTCTTTCAGGCTCCACAACCAAATAGTTTCCTTCTACGGTGGTTAACGTTAAAATGCAAGATGCCGGCACCAAAAATGTCACTCTAATCTCTTCATTATCAACAGATTATATTATTTCATAAAAAATGATTATGAATCATGAAACTAAAAAATAAAATATTAAAATAAAGATTTCAAAAATGTGTTTTTCTCTCCACTTGTTTTTTTTGTTTTTTGTTTTTTTAAATATTTATGGACATCGGTGTCAAATGCTTTATTCTAATTTCTTTTGTAGCAGAAACACACATAATTTTCATTTCTTTCTCTTTCGCTTTTTCTTTCACTCTCAATGTCTACTTTTTAATCTCAGTTTATTTTTCCATCTCTTTCTTTCTTCTCCAGTCTATTGCTATCTGCCTATATATATATATATATATATATATATATATATATATATATATATATATATATATATATATATATATATATATATATATCAGTCTATTTCTATCTATCTATCTATCTATCTATCTATCTATCTATCTATCTCAGTCTGTTCATATCTATCTATCATTGTTTACATATCTATCGCAATCTGTTTTTATCTCAGCCTGATTTTACCTATGTGAGTCTGCTCATCTATCTATCTATCTATCTGAATTTTTTTTCTGTCTGTCTATCTGATTTTTTTTATCTGTCTGTCCGTCTCAATTTCTTTTCCTCTGTCTGTCTGTCTGTCTCAATTTGTTTCTGTCTATCTGCTATATGATTCCAGCAGCTATCAGTGAAATAGAAGAGCAGCCGAGTCTTGTTTAAAAACCAGCCTAAAAGAAAGAAAACACTGAATCTGACGATAGCTTTTTGAACAAATTCGTAGCACACCTTACTCCATTTCTCCCAAAATGTGTGCATGGTTCGACACAAGCCTGCACCAACGATAATGAAATCCTATTGTCTGTTTTGTCAAACAGTTCACTTCTAAAAATGAACTCTTAGGCACTTACACATCAGAAATCAACGGTGGAGTTCATCACACACACACACACACACACACACACACGTTATTAAGCTTATCAGACGATATGAAAAAAAATTACATAAAATAAATAGACAAAACTTGTCTATATTATTTAATGAAACATGCATCAATGAAAAAATGCTCCCTAAATACACTATATATATATATATATATATATATATATATATATATATATATATATATATATATATAATGTCGTGTATGGGCGACCATGCCTATAAAATTCGGTATGTTTTTACACATACAAAAATATTCGAAATTGTTTTTAAAATATTCGGGGTCGTCAAATTGTAATAAGCTTTACAACATATGATTAGTAAATATAGTTTTACTTAATAACAATCTTTTCTAAGAGCTACACCACACAAAATGAATTTTAAAAGATTTAAAAATATTATAAATTATTCTAATTAAAATTTTTAAAAAATGAATATAATTTTTTTAAATTCTTCGAAAAAATGTTTTCTTTAGACAATATTGTCCTTAATATATATTATTCATAAAAGCAATTAAAAGCTTTTCTAATTAAATGCCTTAGTTCTATTACGTTTTCATTTTTCGATTCAGAACAGATTTTGAGCAAGTCGGGGTCTGATTTGGAAAATAAATTCGGTGATTTAAATTCTTCTAAGAACTTTTCCTTTAACTAATAGAGTTACTAATATTATCTTGTTGAATTTTTCGGGTTTTTATAAAATTAAGTAAGGTGTTGAAACACATTTAAAAAAAAAAAATTTTGCCAAGATTTTCTAATTAAACATATTTCAAAAAGAATATCATTCATTTGTGTATAAGTCCTGAAAATTTCATTAAAATTCGACAATTATTTGATTTTTGCAAGAATTTCTAATGTCACCGCAAAAAAGAGGGGAAAATTTGCTATGCTAAAAGTTAGTACAAACACTGACGCCAAATAAACGAACTTTTTTAATTAAAATTTCAAATGTTCTAAAAAGAAGTTAAAAAATTGAATTAAATAATTAAAAATACGTCCTCTTAATAATAACAAATATTTTGATGATAAAACTGTTTTCATTATATTTGGAATATGTTTTCATCACGGTATGCTAATTTTTTTAATTAATTTTAGCGACTTCGTGGAGGTCCCTATAAAATATATAAGTAAACGTTCGTGAGGATAAAGAATAATAAAAGAACAGGGTTCAGAAAGATAGAAGATAGCGATTGATGTTGTTTTAAAACTTTTGGAGATGCTAGTTGACAGGAAAGTAAGAAGATGCAAGAAATTTCTACGGACGATTTTGGACTCGAGATATATTGCAGGATCAGCAGACCAAATGTGGCAGCAATATTCAATTCACGGACGAATGTTAAATATATAAGCGTGCAAGATGAATTCTGGTAATAAAAATTGTTTTCATATTCTATCACACATAGTAACCCCTTGTGTCTTAGTGTCTGTGTTGCGTTGACTGGGGTGAAATGATTAAAATGAATGGCAGGGAAAAACGTGCGACCGAAAAGGCGTAATGAGTCTTTCACCTGGAGGTTAGCATCAGCCGTGCTGATGAAAGATAAAAATCATTCTCTAAAAGACAACAGCTTTGTTATGGGGGCGTTAAAAATGTACAAGATATTTATTAAAAGGTAAAAACAAAAGAAAGAAGAAGAATAGAAAGAGGCGAGGACGAGAGAAAGAGAAGGTAAAACTCAGACAGGAAGTAGGAGAAAAAGTAAAGAAAACTTTTGGCAAAAAACAAAGAAAAGAACATAAAGAGAAAGAGTGGGAAAGAGAGAGAGAAAGAGAAAGAGACGAGCACAGTGATAAGATCGTGTGGAGGAGAGAGAGAGGGGGGGATATTATGCAAATGAGGATGTCACAAGGAAGAAGAAAACTGTGTCAGTGTATAAAGAAGACAAGAAGGAAATTTGCAGATGGCAGACGACACAAAGCAGAGGAATGAAATGGCGGTGGCGAAGGCTAGCAGACAGCAGGATTTCAGAAACATAACATTTAACCTGATTTGATTTTATTTTTTCCTCAGATTAAATTTCAGTAGAGTTTATAAAAACACTGGCCCGACTTACCAGCAAATAAAATTGACAACAGAAAGACGTTCATAAAGTTCGTTTTTTTTCCACAGAACTTAAAACAGAAGATACACATATATACCACCTTCGTTCGCAATTAGGCGCCTCATAGTATGGTTAACAAACTTGTCTAGAAGTCTTGTCCATATTTCTGTGAAGCGAGTTCGATCCTTATTGGATGTGAATCATCAAATAGTGTCTTCGTTACAAGCGAAGACAATGTAGCATAAATAAATAAATATATAAATATATTTCTGAGATGAGGTATTATATTCACTATTTACATTGTTTGGACTATTGTCCTCATCTTTGTTGCCATATTTATCACAACGTTTCGGCCATTTTACGCTCCGGCCTTCTTTAGGTGGTTGGAATGTCGAACCGAACCCTTTATTTCGCTCGCTGGGGTAGACTGTTCTTGTTCCATGTGCCATGTTTAATGGATGTCAGTTATCAGTTATCTCCTGTTAATTCTCCTCTCCGCCTTAACCAGATATTGAACTCACACTCTTTGGGTCCTGTCATTGGATCTAACTAGTGGCTTTATCCACTTTTATTTATAAAGCGAAATAAAAATTTTCAGTTCGATATTCCAACCATCTGAAGAAGGCCGGGGAGTAAAAAGGTCGAAACGTTGTAATAAATATGGCAACAAAGATGTGGACAATAGTCCTAATAAATAGTGAACTAAAGTTTCATTTTGAAGACTAAAATGAATATAACCAAACATTGGGGATTATTTCTACATAAAACTTCTGCAATATTCCTTCTGCAAATGAATGTTAATGACCTCTGAAGATACAGTTAAAAAACAGACTTCACTTTATCCATGCAAATTCCTTGTGGAGTAGAGAGAGGGTCGCAAACAAAACTGAATGTTTTCTGATACAGTCTTAGCAGCAAATGTATTTTATAGGGGACAAACTGATAAACCGAACCTCAAGAAAGATGATCTTACGACGAGAAAGGACTTTCTTTGCCACACTGTTTAGTCATAGATGACCAAAAAGAAAAGTATATTTTCTTATCCGTCATCTATGGAGAAATTATATGGTTTATCGTTATTCGATTGCTATTTCTATAGCAAATGTTCAGATGAGCTCCTCATTTCTTAGTTCCACTAGTTCAAACCTTTGGCGAGGGTATAAATTCACAATAAAAACAAACTTGTGTTTAAACCTGATTCAACGATTCTGCCTTAAACGTGTATTGGCAACTGTGTACGGGTTCTAGCTGTAAAGTTCTGAACTGGTGAGAACTAAAGAATGGAGAGCTCATCTGAACATTTGTCATAGAAATGACGATAGAACAGCGATAGGCTTGCAACGTTGTGTCTCTGAGGAAAATGGCTGTTGGGTAGAAAATAATCACCCATAAAGCCATAGACGCTTTTGAACTGTTAAGACTGAAAAGTGAAGATTGTGCAGCTCCAGTCAAGATATGACAGTCATACACACTGAGAAATAAAATCAACATTATAAACAAAAACAAAAACTTAACATTATGCTTTTGCACAATTACAAATTTATTTTTGGCGTATGTCAGACTAGTTGTTTATTTAATAGTAATTCTGGGAGAGATCAGAAAGTTCCTGAAAAAATGAAGACGATCCTTTATAAAAGGAAGAAAAGAAAAATGTATTTTATGCACAAATGTCGCTTGATGTTTGGCGTTGACTGTTTCTTTTTTATTTACGATGTCTAGGATGACGGTGTCTTTTCGCCAAGAAAAGAAGCTGAATAAATTTCCATCTATATTTTTGTTCGGGAACATTCATTGTCATTTGGAGCTACCCGTCTAATGTGGGTCTTATTCAGTGGGAAAATAGACAAACAGAAAACGATCCCTGAGGAGAGAATTCAGACTCTTGAAACACTTGGCCTGTCGGAAAGCAACTACTTTATCAAATTGAATTTGTTAATGTACAAAAGTGTCTTTCATATCAAACACGGCGCGATTAATTTACGTAATTGAAACTGGCATTTCTATTATTTGTAGTTTTATTATTATTATTATTATTATTATTATTAAACAAAATATCTGATAAACTTCCATGGGGAGAATAAAGACGCAGAATGTGACAGGCTATAAATATAAAAAGCCATATTTGATGAAAATACAATCGACAGGAGAATGGAGGTGAATTTTCATTGACCATAGTAAATAATGGTGAATTCTATAAACAGGCTGATATATAAATTCAGAGTATTGATGAAATATTTTTTGCCTAAGAAATAGAAAAATAAAATTAAAAAGATACTTTAAGAATAAAATCTGAAGTTCTTTCTCTCTGTCGTCTGCGAATGGATTTTATTAATCAAGGATGACGATGTCTGTCATTGCTTTTGTCTTCATATGTATTAAGCTAATCATTTGAAAATGGTATTGTCAAGAAGATTGTGTTACGTCAGATTTCCAACTACTGATAACTTCAATGACTAGAAAATTTGCATTCAAAACATTGATTTGTCTCGCTTGTCCACTAAACCAGTCAGTAGTACAAAACCCAGAGACTAATCTCACAGTTGCTAGGGAATCAGAAAGCTTGATGGCAACAAAGACAAATAACTAAAGAAGGCCGGAGGGTACAACGACCGAAAGGTTGTAAGTATAACAACTAAGCTGAGCATGGTGAGCCGAATATTAGAGCATATAATAATGATAATTCCGTAACTCAG